TTTGTGTTATTCTACATTTTGCACCACCATTTTAACTTTCCCTGCAAGTCTTGTACATCCAAATATCATCCATCTAATAATCAGCATCGGCCTCAGTCGGCACCTGATTATAAGCAGGAATAAAATCAAAAACTGTTTATTAAATTGCTCTTTTCACAGCAGAATAACAAACATTCTGCCTCATGAGATCAGATTATAAATAGCTGCATCATAAAAACATGCTGCCCGCTCATCATGTGACAATCACAAACCAACCATCACCAGATCTCTGAGAGACTTTACTGTCCGACCGTGACCCGCCGAAAAGGTCATCTGTGGTCCTGCAGCGTCAAACAAACCCCCCTCTTCAAAGTGCAGGTGCATCCTGTCTGTGAAAATCTGCCATCATGAGCAGCTCAGAGCTCAGAGTGCAATTATCTGTGGTGTTGCTGTGTGCATGACCCCGCTGAGCTGCAGTATGACAGCTGAAAGTGGGCAATCCCCAGAGTAAGTGCACTGACAGCACTCAGTGTATCAGGATCACGTGTTAAGATTCTCACCATCCACAAAGCTGCAACACAAGTGTCCTAAAATATCCCTTTCACCTCCAAAAACAGCTGGCTGAATCAGCTCTAATGCGCACAAACTGAGATTTTAGACCTTCAGCAGAGAAAATGCAAACATTTCTAAAGAAAACATGCTGTTTATGTCTTGTTATACAAGATTAATGCATCTAGAGGTGTGCAAATGTTATGGAAATCTCCGTGCGTAATCTTAACAAAACCACTTTCTTGTGATTCCATATGTGCTTCCCTGCAGGATACAACCAACCACACACACACACACACACACAAACATTCACTCCTGTGACCCTTGTCCTCACTGCTGCGCTGAACCTTTCCAACTTTACGCGTTTCTCCCACTGGAGAAACACTATCCGCGGTTGGCGCCTGTGCGTATATCCCACTCGCGCTTAGTCTCGCTTTGCGTTTCTATTATTAGATTAGGATATCCTATAATCTTTAGATAAGTCTGACAATCTACCTGCCTCTGCACCTCTTAGCCCCACAAGTTGCCACAATCCAAATCCCATATCGAGCTCAGTAGAGGGAAAAACAATCCGCTTGTGGGACTAAAAAATCCGGTGCGTAAAAACCAAGCGAGTCATCCAGCTTGTTTGGCGCATCAGACTCACCGGGATTTTGTCGTTGATCAAACCGTCCCTTTGCTCGTCTCGTTTCGGATCCGGCTCTGCGCTTCTCTCCGCTCCACCTGTAACGTTCAGTCCACATCTAATTCCTGCAGGGAGCGACTCACCCGGCAGCTCGCAGCGGTAGGCAGAGCCCGGTCACGTGACTCCGCTCGTACCTTTCTTTAAAACACACTTGCTCACCTTGCAACCAATCACACGGGGCGGATAAACAACATGCCAGGTTCCTCTAGATTGGATTTTTCTTCCATTTTTTATGTTAATTTTACGCTCCTTGAGGTGCCAAATTAAACCCAATTAGGATGCCATCATATCTCACGTGTTAAAATTCTAATTAATACAAATAATAATAATAAAACAGCATTTTCACTATCTTAAGATTTAATATGAACTTTAACAATAAGTAATCACTTGATAAAAATCTAGATATGTCAGTTCTTGCATTATAAAGAATATACATTTGAAGCTTTTTCTTGTTTATTTACATGCAAATGCTACTGGCAACATATTCAAACATTATCAGGTGTTAAAATTCCAAAAAGACAGAGAAAAAAAGGGAAAACAAACACAAAGAAAGAACCACTTTGGATTCACAGCACCCACCACCTGCCATCTAGTGGCTCACAACATAACAGCTGTTCTACTGGAAAAACCTGAAAAGTAAAACAAAAAACACAAATGGACAGATGATTCCTGAGAACTGAATGTAAAACAGATGAATGATGAAAACAACAACAACAACACAGTTCTTGTGGTAAATACTACGTCAGCTTTTGATTACAGATGAATAGGAGGAGTTGATGTTCTGGTTTGCGAGGCTTTTCAGTGTCTGTGTCTCCGTTTGCCTTCATCATATCTCTGGCCGGGACTCGGCACCCGCAGGTTCTGGGAGGAGGAGACCGTCTTCAGGTGGTTCATGGGCTGCCCAGGAGAAGGCTGTTTGCTGTGGGTGTTTGCATAGATGGGATCTTCTGCTGCAATAAAAAATAAAAGAAAAAAACAAAGGAACAGGATGAATTTCTGCTGTTTGGCCTCCACAAAGTTCATTTATTAACTTTAGGTTCTGGGACAAATTGCAGAACAGAATTTAAAAGGACTGATTTAGTTTTTTCGTGCAACTTTTTAAAGGATGTTGTGTTCACCAATCTTCAATTAAGTTCAATTAGAATGAATCAGAAACACAGCTCAAAACATGCTGAGTATAGTTGTATGTTACTGCTGAATTATTGATTCTCATGCAAATAATTAAACTGTGTGAGGCAGAAAAATATTATTATTGGATTGAATATTGGAAAGAAAGCAGGAGAAAACCAGTAATAATAATAATAATAATAACATTCAGGGGTCTAAATATTAAATAGCTCAAGCCAGTGCAAATATTTATTTCCGGATTATTTATATAAAAAAAAGATCATTAATTTCAAGGTTACAGTACGTGTAGTTGAACTGCAATGATGAACATAATGCACCTTGTATGTAATTATTGCACTTTAAGTCTTTACATTTTCTTGTTTGTTCAACAATGTGCAACATCAGCTACACAACCACATCACTGTTTTCATCACTTGTGCATACTATGCTTCTACTATATATATTTTTTATATTTGCACATTTCTCACTGTAGTGAAACAAAGAAAACAGACATCTGATTGTGTGAACTGTTTGACAGGATTTCTGCTTAATTTCATTGTAGTGACCATAAAGGAATCCTGTTCTGCTTTCTGGTTGAGTATTTTTATTTTTATTTTTTTTTTTTAAAGTCTCAATTCTCTAAATCCAGCTTCCTAGAATTAGTGTAGAATATTTTCTGGTTTCTTTCCTCCTCTGTGACAGTAAACTGAATATCTTTGGGTTTCAGGACATCATCTTGGGTTTTGGGAAACACTGATCGACATGTTTCACTATCTTCTGCTGTATTTTAGAGCAAACAACTCATTGAATAATAGAGAAAAAGAAATGAATCACCTGTGAAAATAATTGTTAGTTGCAGTCCCGGTGTGAAGTCACAGTCGCTGCAATAGAACTTAAAAATGAGCAACTTTGTAGACACAGCTTAACTCTTTACAGTATAAATGCTTCACAGATACTAGTCAGTAATTTAGTAACAGTTGTCAGACTGAAGGAATTTTGCATGTTATCTCTATAAAGAATTGTAAAAGGAAATGTTTTGATAACCAAAAAAGTTAAACATTATAAAGCTGTACTGTGTTTCTCCTTTTAAAGCGATTGTTTTATTATTTCTAGTCTGTTTTGGCCTGATGAGAATTCACTCAGAAGCTCCACATCTCACTTTCTGTCTGTCACGTTGCCACATTTTCTTCCCCTCTGTTCGCACATTCTCACAGTATGACGAGTTAAATCTATACTCTGCAGCACAAAACACTTCATTTGTCCTGCAGAAAGTCCTTCCTGGGTTAAATCATTTGAGTTCCAAAAGTGAACAAATTAATCAACAACGGCCTGAAAACCACCAAAGTAAAACTTCATGGATAGTCAAGATGGTCACATGGCAACGAAACCGACTCAGTACTGAAGCCCGATCAGATTTCTGCACTTTATATCCTGTATCGCCATCTAAAAAATACAAGACGGTAATTTCAAGCTCAAGTGTTTTTGTCACTGTCTATATTTTTTCCACAAGAATGCACAAACAGACTCGTTACAACAGATTAGGTTCATTAGTTTTACCATGACAATCATTTTCAGTCCGCATGTAGCATGAAGACTTTGTCCTACTTCTGTCTCTGCTCCGTCCTCTGTGGTCGAACCACCACATGCAGACCTACTTACTTACTTAGTTCTTCCTGCACAAACTGCATGTCGCCCCTCTGTGAGCAACTCTCGTCGCTGCATGAGGCTCTGCCGTGTCGTCTGTGGTTTAAATTAGGTTTGAAATGATGGCTGATGCGTTTTAAGTGCATTAAAATCAGAACAAAGAGTAAAGGAGCTGCAGATTGAATTTTGAAGATTTCAGCTAAGAGTTTTAGCTTTGGGGGGGACAAAAAAAATCATTTGAAAGTTCTGCAAAGGAAAATCAGTGTCAATGGCAGGTGTCTTTATTTTACACAGCTCCAGTGTTGGAAATAAATAAACGCACCTGTACAGGCGTTAAGAAGCAAGAAGATGCTCCATTTAAGTAACCAAACCAAAGACACACCTGCTATGTAGAACTTTCTAAGCAGTAAAAGTGTTGATTGGTTCAGATGTGTGTTTTTTTTCCAGCTTTGCTTAAATTATTTCCGATATTACTGTCAGCAGTGGTCACTTTGCTGCGATCAGGTGTCACCGGCTTCTCCTGCTCTTAAAAATCGTGGTCCTTGTAGCTACCGTCTGGGGTCTCGTCTACATTTGAAAACCTTTGGGCGTTCTCTCTTAAGCCGTACAGGAGAAGACAGACAGCTCATCTCTCTGACACCGACATTTTAGTTTGTCTCACGCTGTGCTGTTAAACCACACAAACCACCTTCTTACTCAGTTTCTCTCCATCAGCCACGACTTGGCCACGATATCTGCATCATAAAAGTTGTTCTATTGTTCACACCTGTCTGCTTCTCATTTCTCCTTTCAAATGTAAAGCTTTGTGAGGAAATGAATCAGCCTGTACCAGCTTTGAAGTGAATCTAATGAAACAACAGAGGAGTACTGTAACATTTAAACGCTGTTAAAACTGTGAAAATAACAACAAATATCTGTAAAAATAATGACTTTCCTTTAGCAGATTTTAATACAGTAAAATAATGTAACTTTATAGTCACACACTGTAAAAGAAAGAAATACTAGAGGTTCTTATTTACAGTTGTAGTCTGTTTTTCTCTCTTTCTATTAAAAAAAAAAACAATTAATGTGTAAATGAATTAAAATTAAATGTAAAATTAATTTACATTAAAATAAACACTGACATTTTCTTTGAAATAATGGCAAATATCTATCAATAACATTTTTGTCTTATTTGATGCAGCAAAAATAGTGGAATTTGACCACAAACACTGTAAAAGAATGAGTTTAGATTTCTAAAACGTAAAATTTTTGACTGTTTTTTAAAAAAAGGGAAAATGTGTAACAGTTAAATAATTATGTGTAATTTATTGATCCTTAATTTCAAGAATTTTTCTTCTAATTAATTTCAAATATCTATAAAATAATGATATTTGCTGCTGATTTGATGCAGTAATAATAGTTTAATTTTAATGATGAAACAGTGGGAAAGAATGATTAACTATTTTTAAAATTTATAAATTGTTTATGTGGATGTTAATTATAGTTTTTAGCCTGTATTTTTTTCTTCTTCTTCTTTTATAGTAAATGTGTGAATTACTACTGTGAACTTACTGGTTATTATCAGTAATTCAACAAAACAGAAAAAAAAAGTGCAAAAAACCGCAAAATACTGTTGAAAAAAATGCCCATTCTTTGAACGTTTGCTTCTTCGTCTCTTTCTCCTGGAGCAGCTTTCAGCACTGTGGTTTTTTACCAATGCAGAGCTTATCTCCATTGATCTATAGACACTGTTTACTGCAGTGTTATCAGAGTTAGATTAATATCTGAATGTTTGCACTGAAAAACAAAACAGGTATACCTCTGTCTCTGCTGCAACATCTTCTCAGCAGGATGCATACGACTGTCAGGATGACCAGGACGAAGACAGAAACTCCCACCAGGACCCAAATCCACCATTCGACCTGCAGCGTGTAGCTGGTGGCAGTAACTGTAAGAGGAAAACTCCGTCTTGAAATGTGCATGCGGTTAAAGAAAAGTGTCAGAGTGCAAGAAAGCATGAAAGTGCACACAATAACCCACAGCAAGACCGATTAGTGTCAGAAAAAGATAGTTAGAAAGAGACCTGAGGTCACAAGCAGGCTAGAATTAAACAAAGTGTTGTTTTGTGGTGCAAATTGTTGCAGTTCACACCTTACAGGATAAATTTAAACACTCTGAAATAGCTCAGACTCGTCCTCTCACCTCTGTGCATGGACAAACAACACCAACACAGAGACGCTTTAACTGGAAAAGCTCAGACTCTGCTGGGTCCAAAAAACTGCTACTGTTCTTAAGAATTGGGAATTTACCCACGCACACACACACACATCGATGCAAACACACCTTGTTTACTCGTCACATATGACGTTGTACTTTCCACTATGCTCTTCGCTGTCATGGAGGAAGCTAAAAGCAGTTTAGAGAAGCATTCATTTAGTCATTGCAAGCCAGAATATTTGAAGCATTTATGAATCCAGTCAAGATATAACACGTCAGTATAGCAAGTTAAAGGCACAGCTTTAGTTTTGCATTTCCAAGCAGCATATAAACATGTAATAAATGGGTTATAACACTGTGATGAACATGTGGCATCATAGTAAAACACATAATGTAGAAATGTGGCAAATAAACTGCATTAATAAACAAAAACACTCAATAGGGAGTCTTAAAGTAAAATCTTATTCTATCAGCTATAAGCAATACTTACTAATAACTACTTCTGTTCTTTTGCTGAAAAATGTCATTTGTTGAGGAATGTCTACACTGACTTCGCAAAAGTACCATCCGCTGTGCGTTTCATTAACCCCTAATAAACTGTGCGCCTTGTCCCTGTCTTTACACTCAGTCACTGAGGTGCTCGCAGATCTGTTAATCATCTTCTTTGAGAGTTCGCCAGAGTTGCTGATGTTTCTGGAGGAGATGAAATTCCAGGATATCCAAGATCTGTGGTATGTCTCCAGACAGCAGTACAAAGTCAGAGTGGAACCATTGGGAACTTCAACTTTTTCCTCTGTGTCGTTCAGAAATACAGAAGTTTCCGGTAGTATCACCATGGCTGCTGCTGCCACTGTAGGTAGATAAAAAAAAAAAAAAAGAGGAAAGAAAAGTGAGTTTTTCTGCGTGGATTCTCAGTCACCCAGGTTCTGCTAAATGCTTCAGTGGAGTTTGTAGGATTTGGGGTTGATAATAAATATCTGGCAGTTGAGGAAGCCTCTTGGATGCACCATAAAACTCTGCACGTATTTTAATTTTTTAAAAACCAGTTTCATTTTTTAGCATTTTGCACTGTACTTTAAAAATTCAACATTACTTTTTATGCATCACAAATATGCTTTTTTTAAAACACAGTTTTTCCTGTACATAACCTAGTTAGCACCCGTTCTTATACGTTCATATTTGTTACCTCAGTATGCAGGTAGAAGCAGTAAAATAAGAATTTAATCGCACTGATAACTTGTATTTAGCTGCATATGTTCATACAATTTGTACTATCCATACTATTCGTACTGCACTTTGTATATGCAACAGTGCCTTTTCTGCACCATAAATAAGCTTTTTTAAATAGTTTTTCTTCTCCGTGCATAACCATTTTTGCAACAATTCTTCATATTCGCTCAGTTTGTAGGCAGAGACGCAGTGACCTCAGAATTTAATTGCATCAATAACTTGTATTTAGCTGCATGTGTTCACACTGTTAATACTTTTTATACCATCTATGCTATTTATATTGTTCATAGATGGTCTGTTTTATATTGCATCCACAGCTATATGTTTATATATTAGCCTGCTGAACATAAGATAAGCCTTTAGTAATCCAACAGTGGGGAAATCTGCAAGGTTACAGCAGCTAAGATTTAGAGAAAGTACTACCAAAATAAACCAAGATATATATAAGTACTAACTATAAAACACGCTGTATGCACATGCCCATGGTTTGCACAGATTCTTTAATGAATGGAAATATTGACTTAAGTATAAACATTGCACAGATTATTACTTGTATTGCACAGATTTTTTACAAAAGTAGAAAAAACACCTATTTAACCTAAAAATACACCGTTTATACTGTAACATAATGTAAATAATGCACTTTACTGCATCTTTTGCACTTCTAGCTAGATACTAAACTGCATTTTTGTAGTCCTGTGCACTGCGTAACGACAATAAAGTATAATATATTCAACTCTAATAAGACGATAAAGACTTTAAACCCTTTGAGAGGTGAAGCATCTTCAGAAACCAACAACAGAAGTCCAGCTGTCATCTACTGAAGCACTCAAGCCAAACTTTTAACGAGCAGACACATGTGAAATTTGACTCTAATCCTTCATCAACACATTTATCGTCACCATCTGTGGCCTTGCTGTCTCTTTTTGGGGCATCAAAGTCAAGAGTCTTACCTGTGAGTAACACCAGACTCGCTCGCTTCAGCCACATTTCCATCTTCATCATGTGAGCGGTGGTCGTCTTCTCAGCCTCATCCTGTCTCTGCTGCCTGATCGTCTGCACAGCCGGCTGAACGAGAAAAGGTTGCGCGTGGGTGGCCGCATGTGGGAGGGAGGAGGAGGGGTTTTATGGCACTGCACTGTGAGAATCAGATGCTTTTGGCTGAGGGGTCTGTGCAGCGGAGGCAAAAGCAGCGACTGAAGGTGGAAAAGGATGTAGGCTTTCAAAAAGAAGAAGAAGAAGAAGCAGAAGTGAGACTCCTGACCAAAACACTGACACTCTGTTCTTTCATACACCTTCAGTCAAAAGACATGAAAGCAGCCTGTTACTGAAAATGAACATCCTGCATGCAGGTGACAGGGAGCCCAAGCGAGACATTTGCTGACTTGCTGAATGTTATCAAATAACAAACAGGACATGCAGAGATGATTCGATGATTGCGAAACCCCGTGTGGGTTTTGGTGCGAAGGGTGCTAAAACGCATTCCACGTTGTCGCCACCTCGCCATACTCGAAGAGGAACACTTGGCTTCCTGTGACAAGACACAACTAAGTGTGATGGGTTGATGAACTTTCTGAACTAATTTTCAACCACAATCTTTAAGAAAACTGCAAGTGATTCAACAGAGATTGTAAAAGGATGATTTTCAGGCAGTGGTGGCTTCATGGAGATACAGAAGAGTTGCAAAAACACAAGAACTTGTCTGATATTTTACAGAAGGCGTTTGAAATCCTAAACCAATATTGCACTGATTTGCTGTGATACACTTTATAAACCTGTCTGTAATTCACTTTAAACCAGAAGACAACAGGTGTCTGTGCATTGTCTGGTTCTGACAACAGGTGTCTGTGCATTGTCTGGTTCTGACAGTGAACAGCGAAGACAAAAAAAAGGTCACGAGAAGACACGTCAGAAGGTTGCAGGGGGATGCACAACTTCTGCAACCTCAGCCTTATGATCTTCTGTTGTTTTGCAGACTGAAAGTAGGTCCTGTCGGCAAAATAGGCAGAGATGGAATCTTGAAAGCATTTGTTTTGTAGCACGGTGATCAAAGTGGGTAACGATGTGGGTAATCAGTTAAATGATTGATTTTCTGTTTGGTTGTTTCTGTTTCTGTAAATCAAAAGCAGATCTGCAGAAATGGTTTCTCGCTGTGTGATGATTTCATGTGGAACCTTTTTGAAAGCAGCTTCATCTTCAAAGCAAAAGTACAGCTTGGTATCTGTGGCGAATGGTTTTAACTCACCGTACAAAGTCAGCATAGAGTCTTATTTTATTCTTCTGTTTACCAAAAATATGAACAAGCGTATCAGATAGCATTTCACCACAACAACATAATCAGCAATAGACACACACACCCGTTAATAGAAAGTACATTCAATCAGCTCCTGCACTTAACTGTGAGTTATGTGTATTTTGCTTCAGTGCCTCCCTTTTATGCTCCTTGATCCTCCCACTCCACCACATCTCAGCAGGAAATATTACACTTTCTATGCCACAGTTTTAGCTACTTTTAAGATAAAGGTTTAATGCAACAGATAATATAGCAAGCTTTGAAATACAACACATGGTTACAGATTAAACAAGTGCACATCAGTCACATTTCAGATGTATTCAAATTGTTAACAACTCTGCCAAATAGGAAGGTCGTATCATTTCATTAAATGCTTAAATTAACCAATATCTCAGAGGAAATCTTTAATGAAGTTCTTCGCAAAAATCTTTAAACTGAAAATAGATTGGCGTCTGAGAGCTTTATTCCCCCTCTCCCATGAATCATGTTTTGAGCCCTGAGATTGATCTGTTGTCCTTGTATATCAAACTGTACTTGAAGGAGCTCAAACCTGCAGCAGCAACAACAGTAACTCGTTGCTGATGCACTCATGCTTCTGTATTAACAATGTAATGACAATAATATGTCAGTCAGATAAATCAAACTAGTACTTTTACCTTAATACTACACTTTGCTGTTCATGTTTAAGTAGAATTTTCCATGCAGGACTTTTACTTGTGTTTTTACATTACTGTTTTTGTACTTTAAGGGTCTGAATACTTTTTTCCATCTCTGTTGCATAAGCTTATACAGAACACATTGCAATAGATCAGGATTTCCAGATCAGTTGGACCTCCTACTTATTAGTCAATGTACTACCTGTTGAAAAACTTAATGGCTCGATGAATAAATGATAATATCTGTTTTTAGTAAGCCGAGGGGGCCAATATCGTTTAAATGAAGAGGCCTTGTCATTTACCTAATTCATCACTCTCCCTTTCTCTCTCTAATATTTTCCACATTTGGAAATGTTATCCTGAACAGTTCAGAGCTAACTGCTTTAGTGTTTCTAACCCTCTTCCTCTGTGTCTCAGCAGCATTTCTAAACCAGCAGATGATGCAGAGGGCCAGATTGCTTTCTATAAAAACACAGTTGAGCGTTTGACAGACTTTGTTGTGGGCATTAATTTGAAGGTATGCTGCATTTTTGAAATAGTGACCTTTGACCTCTAGCTGAGCTATTTTGCACAGACTGATCCCAAAATCTAACCATTCCAAGGAGAGGCCATTCCAAGCTCACCTGTAAAATATCAGCTTGTTAGACCTTAGCACTTGGACGCTTCACAGACACACGGACAGATTGACAGACACAGAGATGGGACCAATTTCTCTGTGGTTTCCAGTTTCTCAGGGGCAACTACAATATTGAATATCAGGTCAAGTAAAGTGATTTTCAGTAGAAAGAAAGATTAGCATTACAAGTTAACTCTGCAAGTTCCAACTTTGAGGTATTGAGGCACAGTATTAATAATTATGGGGATTCACCTGACTAAGAGTTGTGATGCATGAGCGAAACAATTCTTCAACAAACTGGTGCAAAGTGAAGTCAAAACTTACTGCTGTGTCCCCTAAAATGTAAATGTCTTCATGTGAGACCCGAATGTCAACATCAGCCGTAGTTGCACTCGTGTTTACTTTTCTCCGACCGTACCTGAAGGCGGCACACGACAGAAACCCCACTACCCAGAATCCTCCTCTGGCGCATGCGCTGTCTGCACTACGGCCCAAAGGCGTTGGTGGTTGGTGTCCGTCCGAAGATGCGTCGCTCTCCGGCAGCATCAGTACCAGCTCCGCCGCGCTATTAAACCCGCAAAGGAAAAGAAACCGGGGCCACGGAGGAGAAATACCGGCGGTGTTTGCGGCTGTAGCGGCGCCGGAGCTTCGGGGAGGCAACATGGGCGACCAGAAGGTGAGCCGGGGCCGGAGGAACAGGTGTCTCTGATGGGGGGAAGCCGTTTCAGGGCGTAGCGTACAAAGGAAGGGAGACGGGAGGGAGAAGCTGCGAAATTTGCGGAATTTGTGGATGCATGCACGTGTTTCACCGCCGTGTTGTTGGTTTCAAACGGCTGAATTTGAGCTTTATCGACGGGGTTTTCTTACCGAGCTGGCGGTTTAACGGTCCCGGACTGGGGGGGCCTTGGCGCAGCTCCTCTCGCATCAACAAACATTAGTATGAATGGGGCTTTTTCCACTGTGGGCTGGGCAGCAGAGGAGTGGACTCATAGCATCATCAGCGGTGTGATTCGTGTTATATTGTGTGTCCAGTCCTTTGAAGACGCCTCTTTAGTGATTGTACATCCGCATTATTAAATAATTGATGCGCATCCTCCTGCCCGTGAAGTGTCCTCCCTCCCTGCGCCGAGGCGAGGTCCTCCTCTGATCCCATCCGAGGATCAGGTGCTTCAAACGGGGGGAACACAAAGCTTTCTGCGTCCTCTCCAGCCAAGGAGGCACTTCAGTGAGCTGTTGTAGTGTTTGCTTTAAAGGAGGAACCTGCAGCTTTCATCCATTGAGAACATAACCCTGCACTATATTTGCTTTTTCATTCTGAGAGGAGGAGATTTTGTCTTTTACAAAACAGTGTCTTTTCTGCAGGAGTCTCTGCGTAAGATCACCCACACGCTGGCCATGAAGAACGAGGAGATTTCCAACTTCATCTGCACCCTCAAGCAGAGCCTCGACAACTTGGAGGTACACATTTAAATTCAATCCATTTTGCACCAAGCGTGGCAGCTTCAAATACATTTTTAACGCACCATTTCTTGCCTTGTGTGTAAGGAAGATACAAAACATAATGCACTAAGGCTGTACTGCTTTCACATATTCATTCTCCTGTGGATGAACTTTGCTCTTTTAGTATTATCCCTGCTGAGTCAACACACACACACAGCCTGGATTTACTCTTCTGTCTTCTTTTGTTTGGGAAGGTCTTGTGTTTTTATTGGGAGGGACGGATGACAATGCATTCGTCCAGCTAGTTTGACTGTAAAGTTTCCTTTGTCTTTGTGCTGCATCACCAGGCGAACTCCAGCCGAGTGCAGGAGGACCTGGAGTCGGAGTTCACCTCCCTGCACTCCATTCTGGACGAGATGAAGGAAACCATGGTGACGCGCATCAAACAGGAGAGAGCTAGTCGCACATATGAGCTGCAGGTAGCTGCTGTTTTATCATCATATCCATGATTTCAGAAGCAGATTTGAAATCTCATGTATTGAGGCAATGTGATATTATGTCAGATAGTCAAGCATGTGTAGATAAAGTAGTGTTTCACCAGTGCATATGGTGACATTTTCTCCACGTTTGTATTTAAAGTCGTTGATTAAACCCCTAAAAAGGATCTGATTGTACTACAGTGAAATATTTAAAAGTATTTTCCATGAAAACAATCATTTCCTGAGTTTAAATGGCTTAGATGTAACTCTACACCGCTGCTTTCTTGAAGCATGTACCGATCAATGAAGTCCCGTCTCTATCCACACCCACACTGGACTAATTTGGTCAAGCATGTTTAAACCGGAAGCCGATTCTGAAGCAGAATATTGACACAGAAAGCCACACCCTGCAGGTCCCGTAAGGATTGGTTCATTAGATTTGTTACGTATGAAAACATGGAGGTTTGAATCTGTGTTTTTGAGACTGGTGTTGCTACGCTTCTCTTTCAGGGTGGAAATGCTCAGACGTGGCATTTGCTGCTCCTTTTGCTCATGTTGTGTCTTCTAGCATACAAAATAACACAATACGAACATGCTAACAAGGTGCAAAACATGATTTTCACCAAACTACAGCCACCTGACCTTTTAGCGTTTGACTAAAAACTAATTGCAAACCAGGTTCAACCTAGTAAAATATGTGTGTTTCCTCATGTTTGTCTTGATATATTTTTTACTTTTGACTTTTAACCCCATATCAGCTATACCTGCTTTATCTTACAGAAGATAGGGGGCCTGGAGTCTATCCCAGCTCACACCAGACAAGAGACAGAGTGCATGCCCCATTTCATTGCAGGGCAAACATAAGGACTGCTTTCCAATATCTATATTATCATAGTATGTCTGCAAATGTGTTACGCTAAAAATACCTGGCCATCCCACTACATCTGGTTGGGTTTTCCAGTATGCAAGCAAGCATGCTTTTCTGGCCGTTGTGCCTTACAATCCTCTCCACAGCTGCGTATAGGTTGCAATATTGAGGATAAACAATCCTGAGTCAGCGAAAGTTAAAGTTTAAGCTGCAGTATTATGATGAAGTAGTCTATACCAGTTGTATGCAAACTCCAAGAAACAGTATGTAAAGTCAGCTGTAGTACGTTTACGTAAAAAGAAAAATTACGCTATTCGGAATGCAGCCAAAGAGACATCCAAAAATGCCTACTCACACTCACACCTATGGTCAATATAGAATCGTGAAATCCACCATTCATTAATAATAATAATTAATTTTTAATATTTGAATATGCAAGCATCCCTGTGATGGACTGATAACCTGTCTTGGGTGCAGCCGGCCTGGGAAATGTGCAAACTGTACTTTGTGGTGTTCAAAAAGTAGAACAAATGGAGGAAACCATAGGTTATCTATTGTGTGTGTAATAATCAGTATGTTACAGTAAACAGATCTGCACACAACCAAAAGAGGAAGCAGTGGTATACAGGTTAGAGAAAACCACAAATTCATGAGGTCACAAAACAAATATTCATGTTATCTTCTATATCATCTAATAATACTTTGGAAACGCGCTTTTAAAATTGTTTGTATCCTGAACCAAATCTAATTTAGATTTTTTTTAATTCTGTCATTAAAGAGCTGATATTGAATCTGCACTTTCAACTCTTTACTGTTCTGTTATTGCGACTTGGCTGCGTTACATAAGCTGATATTCATTTTAATTCATCAAGATCAGATCAAAATGCCGTTAAATACACTTGAAGGTCTGTGCACCCTCAGGACCGAGCCATGACTCTCAAATGATGCGGCCGTCTCCGTAGCTTCTGCGGGGAACACAAACAGCCCCTTTATACTGAAGTCAAACCTGTGAGAGTTTGCGGATGCACTCTATTTGACTGTGAGCTGGTGTTTTTCTCAGAGTCAGCTGAGCGCTTGTTCTAAAGCCCTGGAGAGCTCCGAGGAGCTGCTGGAACTGGCCAATCAGACGATGTGCTCCTCGGAGACGGACGGGTTCACTCAGGTAACCTCTCTGCTGCAACGCTGCTGCAACACTCACTGTTTGCACCTGAATGTTTTAATGACTGATTTACCGTGTCCTTCTTGCAGTGTCATACTAGCAGTTACTTTAACACAGCACAAGTTTTTGTGTTAAATGACAACATGATGGGCTTCAACTCTGTTTTCTCTTCGCTCCCATATCTCTCCTCTCTTTTTTTCCCTCCTCTCTGCTTCTCCTCTCCAGGCGGCCAAAGACATTAAGGATAGGTATAGTACTCAGCCATCCATTGCTTCCCTCCTGTCATAGCCTCCTGTAACCAGCGAGCCATCTCATAACGTAGCATGCATGCATTCGAACGTGTAGCCAGCCACCGCACCCATCTCATAGAGAACAAGCACCGTGGAAAACTTTCCACTCGCGAGCCTTTTGTTCTCTGTGTTTCCCGCTGTCCTCTCGAGTTCGTACCATCCTGTGTCAGCCCCATCCCTGGATGAATGCTGCTCCCTCTTTAGCTCCGCTTTGTAAATGTCGATCAGGGTGATGACGAATTCAGTGGTAGAAATCTAGTTGGCGACTTTTTTTTTTTTTTTCTCTTAGTGAGCAATGCTAGAATCTCCTGTTTTTTCTTTGTTGTTTCCCCTCTTCTTGTTCACTTGAATAATAGACAACGCTTGTTTCCACCCCATGTGTTTGTGTGTTTTTGTGCGTCTCTTTGTCCGCAGCGTGACAATGGCTCCAGCCTTTCGCCTCTCCCTGAAGGCTAAAGCCAGTGACAACATGAGTCACTTGATGGTGGATTTCAGCCAGGAGAGGGAGATGCTGCAGGCTCTCAAGTTTCTCCCAGGTCTGCACCACTTTTATGGCAAAGAAATACAGATAGAAACAAAAGAGATGCAGACTTACATCATTATGTTACCCCTGTACTCTCCTTGTGCATGCTAGTTTATACTTTGCTGCATTTTAAAGGGAGGTTTTTGCTCCAATACCTTCATTTAACAGCTGTAGTTATTAGTTATGTGGTTATTTAAAGCTGCAGTAGGCAGAAAGCTGGGAAACAATGCCATCATTTGATTATCCAGCTTCCTCCTGCTGTAGCCCTCCACTGTCTGTCCTAAGCTGACCTTCGGGATGTGCATTATTATATGCACACGCTTCATACGTCTGCTTACACAATAGGCGGCCAACACAGCCAAACCATCCACGACAAGGATAAAAAACTTAGCACTGAATATGCTGTGGACAAAGACAGCAGCATAAGATAAGAGAAACTTTATTGATCCTCCACCAGAGAAATGTACTTGTTACAGCAGCTGCATACAAATGAGTCATGGAAAAAGCAAGACAGGAAATACAATAAGGCTAAAAATACAGATATAATAAAGACTATGTAAACATTTCACATGTACCAATGAGGCGTGATGAGCATACACAAATGTATGTGGTTGAATATATTGTCACCACTTTCCGATGGGAAACTGAAGGCGTAGTATCGCTATCAGACTCCTCTAACAAAAACACCATTTACTTCACAGAGTAAGTTGAGTTGCTGAGCTTCCGCTGTGTGTTTTCACACATTTGAATCCCAACAAACATGTCCAAACATCAATTTCACACAATAATACAAACAGGATAATTAGTTGAAGTTGATAATTGCGATTTCTGTCTGGGGGGCACTGGAAATATTCTAAATGTAGTGTATGCTTAACCTCATAGATATATATTTTTTTCTGGATGATTGAATTACGTTCTGCTTCTTCTTCAAACTGGTGGCGTACCGATTCCCATTTACTGAAGATAGCCCACTAAATAAGGACCTCATACAACCCCACTTTTTAAAATTCAAACTATAAAAGTGTAATAAACTGCCTTTACTGTCACACTCTCTTTTTGGTAAATCTAACTTCCTTTTTTTCTTTAGATAGCTTTGCAATGTAGACAACTTTTACTGCAGGATTTTCTGCTCCTGAACCAAGCTTTCCACCACCTGAAGGAACATGCACACTCATTGGGAGTTTCTTGTCATGAGTTAGATTTTTTTTTAAGCCTGCAAGCAGAGCCAAGAGGATGTGTAGAAGTCTGTCAGAGCACTTGCATTACAATATGTTTAAAGATTATTGGGGGATATTTGACCAGTGACACCCAAAAAACTACCGCAGCTGTAAGACTTTTTCATTCTAAATCTATGTCTTGTCAGGTCATGTTAGTCCATAATTGAGTGCTGGCACTTTTGTCATTCTTAAAAAATCTACGACTGCAGCCTAGTTTTAGTATTCGTATTTTTTATTTCAATTATTTTCCTGAAGTAAGTTGCATTTTTTTATGTTTTTGGTGCACAATATACTTGCATAGAAAAGGGTATGTTCACTTATTTTGGAAAAAAAGATTTCCGAAATAGTTTTTGTAAGATTAGGAGTTTTTGTGCTGTTACAGATTCAACTACCGAAAACAGTGTAAAATTTAAAATTAGATTGACGTCAACCAGTTGCAAAGATAAACTGTTATTAGGCTCATTAGGTGTGGTGATAATGATCCAGTCATATAATCTAAAAAAAAAAAACACTGAAACAGTCCACTTTACTGTACTTCTAACTTGAATATGTTGAGGTCCTGCAACAAACACTTGTTAATTTTGTCTTTTGCAGATAAATGGGCAGTAATCGCTCATTCTAACAATGCAGTCTCTGTCAGATCATCTAATTGGAGCAAAAACAAAGGCCCTTTGTCAGAAAGGCTGCGTGATGAATTTCCTGCGATATGTTCCACTTGCCAGCTTTTCATATATTAATGAGTCAAACGACTGTATGTGATGTGAAAGAGGGCAGACGCAGAAATGAAACCACAGAGAATGATCACTCCACAGCTGTGTGAAGCCTGTCAACACCTTTATTGTGCTGGTGTGGTTTTACACCCTGTGTATTTAGAGTAGGGTTCAGTTTCATGGAAGATGCTGCTCAAATAAAACCGCAACACATTACTGTTCGGTGTTAAACAGGCAAAGGGGCACAGGGGCACGTGGGCAAAGTTGGCGGCCAGCAAATGAAAAAAATGTAGCAGCTGAAGAGCCAGATGCTTTTCGTAGGTGATGGTGGAGACAAAAACTGAGCTAAAAGAAGAGTAAACATGGCTAATATTTTTTAGGTGGATATGAACATGACTCCAAATAAGTGCCAATGTTTTTTGTGTCCATGCAGATGGTTGTTTCTTGTGCTTTAGCTACAAGTTTATACTCCACCAGCAGTTTGTTTTGGGTAAATTCTGCCCCCAAGTGGTGGAAATCAGTGAATGCAGCTTTAAAATTAAACCTGCATGACAGCTTTTGTTATGATTAATTATTACTGTTAGTAGTTTTAAATCCTGCTCTCTTGTCTTAATTGGTCATTTCAGTATATTTTGAAATATAAGACTGAAGGAGTCAGGAAGGTGATGCTAGATATGATTTTTAACAAACTGTCTATCGTCTCCAGTTCCTGCCACTCCAGAGATCCAGGCGTCGGAGTGCCAGGTGTGCGACAACACAGTGACTGTAGTTTGGACCTTGCCAGAGCCTGACAGCAAGATAGATCACTACATACTGGAACATCGACGCACGAATCACGAGGGTCCGCCGCGAATCAGGGAGGATTATCCCTGGATGGTGGTGGAGGGGATAAAAGAGATGGAGCACACACTCACAGGTAGGAGGATGACGCTGAAGACAAGTTTGTTGTTTAACTGAGATCAGCAAAGTGACTCCATAACAATACTTTGTTTTTTTGTACTCTCAGGTCTGCGTTTTGACACTCGCTACATGACATTCAGGGTGAGAGCGTGCAACAAGGCGGTGGCCGGAGAGTTCTCTGAAGTGGTTACACTAGAAACCCATGGTGAGATAACTGTGTGCAGAAAGCTGCATTGTTTCTGTTATTTTGCACAATGACTGATGAATTTTTAAATGACTTTTTTAAATTTATTTTTTTGGTATTGTGTGCTGAAGTATATCAGTTTTAAAGGTTTGCCTGTTTGTCCTTTTCCAGCTTTCACCTTCAAACTGGACTCGGCTTCGGCCCACCAGAACCTGAAGGTGGAGGACTTGAGTGTGGAGTGGGACAGCAGTGGAGGGAAGATACAGGACATCCGCAAAGAGAAGAATCGAACCAACTCCCCAATGCACTCCCCAGCCAGGTTTGTAAACTGCTTTGTGTGTACTGCACTTACATTATTCATGAATAAACCTCAGAAATGTGAATTTTCGAGGGTCTCCACCGACTCTCTTGTGTGTAACCAGGTCAGCCCTGATGTCTCCTAAGAGAGCACCAACAGCGCGACCCGGCAGAGACAGGTTTACAGCAGAGTCCTACACGGTGCTGGGTAAGAACATGCGCTGGCAACAAAAAACAAGGAATGTTTATCTATATTCATAGTCCAAATTGAAGCTGTAGTTGTAGAGAGATAGTGATTGAAGTTTAGTTGAAAAGAAAAAAGCTAAATTCCTCTAGCCCTTCTGAATCTGTAGGCTGGCTCATGAACCCGTATCTTTCAAGGTAAGCTAGAATAAGCAAGTGATCTTCCAACTCTCACAACAGCCGACACTATGATCGACGCCGGCCAGCAGTACTGGGAGGTGAAGTTCGACAAAGAGAGCAAAGCCTTCGCTGTGGGCGTCGCGCTGCGGAGCCTCGGCAGATTTGACCAGTTGGGGAAAAGCGGCGCGTCCTGGTGCATCCATCTGAACAACTGGCTGCAGCAGAGCCTCACAGCCAAACACAACAACAAGGCTCGAACGCTTGACTGTGCGATCCCAAACAGCATAGGAGTCTATGTGAACTACGATGAAGGTAAAGTAGAAAAAGATTTTTAATCAGCAAAATAACTTTTGCGTGTGTTTTATTAAACTTTATCATGTCTGGTGAGGTTTTTTTTAGGTTAGAAACTTCTTTTGAGTGGAAGCATAAAATATACATGTTCAAAAGGAATATCAGTTGGTTTTGTAGAACTGATTGATAAACAAAAGAGGGTATTTGCAGACATCATTCTGGGTATTTGTCATGTTTCACATTTTTGTGACATTTTAAGAACTATATCACAATTCATTGAATGGAAAACACTTTCTTTTTTTTACATAGCAAAGCATGGTGCATCATGAAGTAGTTGCTATTAAATTGATTAACTCCGAATAGAAACTATGCAAATAACAAATAAAACATACAAACATTTTAAAAGGAACATCAGTGCATTTTGGATTGTTGATTGAGAAATATTGGAAGCTATTTGAAGACATTGCTCTGGACCAGGGGTGCCCAATCCTGGTCCTCGAGGGCCACGATCCTGCATGTTTTAGATGTTTCTCTCTTCCAGCGCACCTGATTCAAATGATCAGCTCATCATCAAGCTCTGCAGAAGCCTGATAACGATCCTGATCATTTGAATCAGGTGTGTTGGAAGAGGGAAGCATCTAAAACATGCAGGATTGTGGCCCTCGAGGACCAGGATTGGACACCCCTGCTCTGGACATTTGCAATTTTTCACTTTTTTTTACATTTTAAAAACTAAATCGCCAACTGATGAAATGAAAACAACACTTTTTTCATGTACAAAGGATAGTCCACGATGATACAGTCGCCACTTAATTAACTCCATTAACTCAGAACAGATATCATAGAACTACAACACTTATAGATGTAGACTTTACTGGTTCAATGAAAGCAACAAACTCCTAATAATGAACAGCAACAGCCTACAGTGGTATTTATGCACTCTCGTCTGTAATATTGTCTTCTGTGGGTCAGTATTCAGTATATTGTCTGACTAGAAATGCTAGCGACAGCTAACCTTTCCTGCTGGCTACTGAGCACACCATGTGGAGAATGCATGAACTGAATCGTTGACCTTTTAAACAAATATAATACACAGTATAATGTGGCTTGTTTGTTCCCTCCAGGCACACTGTCTTTTTACAACGCCAAAACTAAGCAGCTGATGCACACCTTCAAAACAAAGTTCCAGCAGCCACTTATCCCAGCTTTCATGGTGAGAAACGTTTCTTTCAAATCATTTGTCATCTGCCTCCATTAGCTTTTTACTTTATAAAACTGACTCCTGATGCCCCCTACAGGTGTGGAACGGAAGTTTCTCGGTGGTGACAGGTCTGCAGGTCCCCAGCGTGGTGCAAAGCGGCCAGAGGAAGAACAGTGGCACCAGCAGCTCCAACGCCAGCCTCACCTAAACCCACCCAGCCACCCATTCATCCATCCAGCCGGCTGGACGCCTCCCGGCTCCGGCCGCCTCGGTCACGGCTGCAGATCACCTCCTCTGGCCTGACTGCGGTCGAAGCCATATCATGGAAGAGTTACATCACTGGAGTACGATGGTTTAGCCTGTTCCACATGCACTGTCGGTGTTGCATGAAATGATTTTGGGGAACAACTGAGTCATCTGCTCCCTCGGTGACAGAATTCTTCTGACTCTGGCTGTTGTGATTGCTTGGGACACGTTAGGTGTAGTCTTACTAGTTCTCTTCTCTCTGCACATTCATTTAGCACTGTCCCACTGCTGCTAGAGCAATGTTTTAGCGCTGGCCGCTGCTCTTCCTTCCTCTCCATCACCAGGACTGTCGGTCGTACTTTCATGCAGCCAGCTGCAGGTTCAGGGTTAAGCTCTGGCCTGTCTGCTCTCTCCCTGTGCCTTCCTTCTCATTTCCAAACTGATAGGCCAAATCGAGCGATCTGTAACTACACGCTAATATTTCACTACAAGAAACGATTTCAAACCATGCGTTGTGTCAGTAGAACTTGGTTGTAACGTGACTTTATAGGTATCGCCACCTGAATTTGCCAACTGATATAATTACACCCGCTCCTAGACGATGCTACTGAATAGAATGCACTTCATTACTAAATCAGGATTTACTTGACTTTGCCAGCAACTAATGCCTCATAAGAAACACACACTAGGTATTTGACTATTAGGTATTTGATTTGGCATGCAGATTTAACAGTGTTCGCTGCATTTCACTTTGTAGTCCGGACCAACACTTTGCGTGCAAGAAACTGGGTCCTTTAGCCTCCAGCTGAGGTTTTGTTAGTTTTAAATTAGAGCCAGTATTGACGGTGGGGTGGGGGAGTCTGACAATCAGACTCTGCACAGAAAGTTAGAGGGAGTTTTCCTCATTTGAACTCCTTGTAGTGAAGTTCTAAAGCGTTCAGATGTGGCTTCAGGGTTTTGGAAATGACTGTACTGTATTCTCTGTTTACCCGACTGCACCCTTATGCTTGTATGTGTCTATATCTAATAACTCCATTTTATTTGCAGCACAGAGATCCAATAATGAGTAGCTGTCTGTAGTCCAAATATAACAAATAGGTAGCCAGTAGCGCCAGCTAACAAACTGTATTATGAGAGTTAGCGAAGGTTTGGAGTCCACCTGAGTGAGAAAGAAAGTGATAAACTCTGGAAACTTATACTACGAAGTCCTTATTTGTGCACCGCCCGACCTCGTCATACGTTACACATGGTCCTGCTTTGCCATGTTCCTCCCTCTGTATGCGTCTCCTGAATAACTGTAGCCTGCAATGCTTTAAAGAGGATTATGTTCACTTTATTTCACATGCTGACAGAAACGTCACAGTTTTATTGTAAATAGTTTAATTTTTTCCACTATAATGTATCAGTCATTGAGGTAATAAAGGAGTGAGAGCACTTTCTTCTCGCATGTCTGTTTCAACACGGGATCAAATGGAGTTAAAGAAAAAGGCTCAGCTGTACAAAAACAGTGTAAAACAGGAAATAGACAAAGTACAGAACTTCATGTACTGTCCTCTTGGCACATAGTAGAAGTTGCATCTTCACATGCAATCAGATTTTGACAGATTTAAAAAACTATTTACAATACATTCATATATAGACGGGAAAACTGTCCAACAAATATCTGTTTTCTTGCATTGAGGAGCTGACTCACTGTACATTTGTCCTCTATATATATAAATTGCTATATATTAACATCACATGTCTGTAAAGCAGAACAAATTTAACCTTCAAGCTGTGTTTTAAAAAAAGCTTCGACAGCTGATCATACAAAAAAAAAGAAATAGAGAAAAACACTGATTCTGAATCTGTTAAGGAACCACTGTCGGTGGTGAATGTGCAAAATGTACAAGAGGAACTCGGTGCAGATAATGTGACAGGAACACCCCTCTTTACAGTCGATCAATCGGCTAATGAGCATCCGAGAAGGAGGCGAATCGATGTGGCGTTAATCTTCAGAGAGGCTGCTGACAGCAAACCGGCGAGGAGCAGCGGAGCCTCGAGGCGAAGGAGGGAGATGTTGTCAGCTCCCATGTGTCGCCGCTTGCTGCAGCGACGAACTGGGAGGCGGCTCCTCACTACTGTGGCACTTTTTCCACACATGTGCTTTGAGGGGATCCAACCAGGAGAGGTCACTACTGAGTCTTTGCCATTTGTTCAAACCTTAGCTTCAGCTCTGATATTGCTGCGAGGGGAACTGTGGCACATAGAACAAAGATGTTTAATGATATGGCACAAGTGACAGATAACAGAACATGAATGAATGAAACTGCAAATGTCACTCACTCTGTTTTTGAGGGTCTGTATCTGATCTCATCCTGGAATCTCTGTTTGTGGAGGGGGGAGAGGAGGAGTACGGTGTTGCTGCAGTAATCGACTTGCGAGGAGCAGGACGTGGAGGCATCATTGCTTTCTTCGGGGGTTTGTTTTCGGCTGTTAAAGAACACACAGATGTAAGCAGCGATCTAAACCATGCTGCTGGTGAAGGGAGTATCCTCTGTGAGGTGCTGAGATGGAAAGATAAGACGAAACTTACGTGGTGGCGGAGGAGCCGTGGAATCTTCCCCCTCTGCTTCCTCCTCTTCCACTGTTTGAACACAGGCATTAAGTGAGCGACAGCCGTAGAAAAAAAATGAAGTCACACCTGTTTGCAAATGTGACTGACAGATTATTGATGGATGAGACAGGTGGCAGAAGATGTCATACTCACTATCGTCATTCAGATAATAATTCTCCTCTATGACTGGCTCTGGCTCTGGTTCGGGAGATGGTATTTTTCGAGGCACTGAGAAACAAAACATGCAATTATGATTATGACGGGTCGATAAAAGATGGTAAACAACAAACACAGTGCCAGCAGCCTTATGAAACCAGCACATGATCAGCAGCATAAGACAGCAGTAACACATGCTGGTTGTGTGGAGGGTTTAGAAAATGAGCACAAACAGATCAAGATTGTTCTTCATGCTGGCTGCAGTGGTTTGAGCAATGGCATGATAAATGATCATTTGTTGGTTTGTCCACCACCTTCAGACGCCATTACTGGTTAAATTAATTCATTACATATACTTGAATCACACAAGCTGATCTTCTGATTCTGTTGCACCAACTCAACACTGACATTCATGGATATAAATAAAATGTCTGAATACCTGTTGGACGGTTTTCCATTAAATTTTGTTTAGACGTTCACCTCCCATGCAGAGCTACTAGGAATCAATTTGTTGTTTGCTGATGTGTAGAGCTTATCAGCAAACGTAATAAATGCTACACCTGTTTAATGGTAAAACGCTTAACATCAGCTTGTTGACATTAGCTCTAAGTGTCAAAGTCCAAAGCTAAAGCAAACCTATGGAGGCTCTAAAACAAGCAAACCCTGAGTGGTTGGGTGGGTGCGAAGAACTCACAATCATTCCACTACGAGAAAACTTCCGTGATTCCACTATAGTTTGAAAGTCTAAAATTAGTTTTATAGTTTGTTTTTTCAGGGGAAGTGCACAATAAAAAATTACTGCACCAGAGTTTGCTGGCAGCTGATTTACACCTGTTGTCTAAAACCTACCATCACATTACAGAAAACAACACAAGACGTAAAAGTTAGATGGAGTGTGACTAATATGATGTCGGTCATTGGTAGTGACACTTCAGCCAAAGCTTGAGGCTGGTTTTAAACACAGTAAAGCTTACTGAGTCTCTAATGTTTGTGGGAAGACGAAAAAAAGTCGGCAGGATCCTCAGCAAAGTTGTTAACGTGAATATCTTTCAAAGCATCAGACATCTGTTGTCCTCATCTACGGCAAGGAGATGATTTTTACCATCTGTCTTCTTGCATTACGAGAAAAAGCAAGGTATCGTTTAAACTTATTCGATCACAATAACTCAGGCTGCAATAACAGAACTGGCTGTCCTTATGAAAATGGGTACCAGGCTCATGATTATGATGGTGGTGCTGTTTGAGACGTATCCTTATAAGAGGACTTCAGGCACACATGAGAGTAAAATAGAAAACAAGCAAATTCTGAGGAAATGATCCCTCTCTAGGATACTGCAGTGATGCTGGTCTCTTGTCTTTTTGTCTTGTATTTTAAGGATTTGTTTATAGACTGAGTAAAGTATGCTTCAGTATAGACACACCTGCCTGTAGCCAGGCTGCAATGTAGGAGGACAAATGGAGAAAAAGCATCCCTCTGGAGCAGATGAGGACAGCTGGTGCCTGATGCTTTTAAAGTTATTTAAATGGAGCTTAAAGTAGTTGATGATCGTATTCATTCGTGTTTTGAAAGGCAGGATTGTGTCATTTGTAATGCCTCGACACTCAACATGTGTGATCATTTTGGGGACAACGTTCGAGGACACAAACTGATGCACAGTATATTAACAAAACACTTTAACTAGTAGCTTTATTATGTTACCACTTTACCATTTGCTATGACAATATGATATAAAATCAATAAACTAAAAGTATTTGCTGATGCTACTGTGACTTGGAAAAAGTCCAACACTAATCTATGTAATTGTCAAGGAGGAATTTCCAAATCATGACTTCAAAGCGGCAGATCAAGCAGGTCAGCCAACAGGCTTACAGTAAATAACTAGATGTGTGCGTTACCTGGTTTGCGAGGAACACTCGGTGGAGCAACATTTGGCAGAGCCTGGTGAACACTCCTCTCTCCATTTTCATTATCTGACTGAATAAAAGCTGAGGAAGAAGCCCAACATTTACATTAGTCACACTTTGGAAAATAATGACATGGGAGAAAATAAAGAGTATAGATTTTGTACTTACAGATGTTCTTCTCGTACGCTTCCTCGATGATGAGGGGAACCAAAACTCTGTCGGTTTTCTCTACTAAATAGTCGATCACTTCGTGTAGGGTGTCGCAATGGACCTGAGCAGAGAACAATGACTTTTTAACAACTTAAGAACAATGAAAGACATACAGGAAATAAAACGGGGTGTGTATTAGCTGGAAACTTTATAGCATCTGCAAAGATAAAGCTTGTATCAAGTGCATTAGCCCCGCTGTAAACATTAGAACTCCTGGGACATTCATCACTGCTTGTAATAGAGTTTAATAACAGATGTGTGTCATAAATGCAGAGAAGGATATCTGTGTAAACTGCACACACACACAGACTTGTTGTTTTATGGCTGCAGTTGGAACAAAGCTCAAGGTGAGTCATGTCATATTAAAGCTTTGTGGGCGTAGAACAAATATGTCTGCAGGAACGTCACTGCTGGTTCGATGGCAGCTCAGTTTTTGCTGATAATCACTGTCTTTTCCACGAGGTCACATGTTCTTTTTTTATCACTTCTGTCTCCAATAAAGTCATAAAAATCCCTCCAGCTATCAAGTGCAGCTGCATATTTTCTATTGTTTGTTGCTGCCAAGTTCTACGGAGCAGATTTTAAAGGATGACAAAGATCTCTTTCTCAATTATCGTGTTACCTAACACTGCAGACGCCCGACCTGCTTCCTTCACCTGATTCGGTTATATAAAGTAATTGAGCTTTGATCTTGACCTGAGTTTTAATACTCACAGGATTGTCCACGTCGATGGTGAAGCCTCCTTCGGGATTGCGGGTCACTCGGTAGTGTCTGAATACAGAGCTGAAAGAGAGACAAACACACTGTAAAACCGAATGAACGTGAGGATTTTTATCACCGAGTAAAGAGCCGGTTTTAGGCGTCACCAGCAAATAGTAAGATTCTGAGAAATGATATAAGACAACTGGACTTTTTAACGTCACTGGAAATCACAAACACACAAAACTGCCTAAAGTAAGCAGAATTCTGAAAAGGAAATCGTTTGATTGATTGGATTGAAAGTCATGTTTGTGAATGCTTTGGTCACACTGAAAGTAACAACTGTGACTTAGTGTGTATCCATTTCTGTTAAGTCGGTGGCTACTGTCGCATTTCTGCTCCCTGTGGGTTCAATTTAAACTCCTGCACCTCGATGGAGACACCATGGCTAGAAGTAGAAAGAACTCTAAAATGTCTTCTGTGCAGTATGACACAGTTATGATGCCATAAACCATACAAAAGTTCACTTTCTTTTTTCTACAAGAGTTGAAAACAAACTGGAATCAAGATGTACAACATATTTCCAAGGAGCCACAGGTGGCCGAGGGCTGCACATGCTACAGATACATGAGTATTCTCATTTTTACAACCTCTACAAACTTGGTGTTGTGTCTGCACATCAGCTCCAGGGAGTTGTTTCACCACGCTGACTGTATCTTCCAACAACTTGCTGACTTCTTGCTCCTCTGTCTTTTGAACCATGCTCCATTTGTTTTAGATTTTTTTTCATTTTTTTTTTTATCAAGAATGTTTTATTTTCCTCTTGTCGTCCCCTATCTTCTCTGAGAATACACAGCCTGCAGTTCACCCGAGCACTCTCAGAACTTTTGTCAAGTGACCGTTGGTCGAAGCTGAGGTAGTCACGGTTGCACTAAAGAACTCAGAAGTGTCTTTTACAGGATCTGGTGTACATTATTTTGGAAGGAGGTGAATTTTTTGAAAGAGACATATAGAATAAAATGATTGTATTTAATTAACAGGATTTTAAGTATAGATGTGGTTAGTTTTCCTGACAGAACCGTATATCTCAGGTTATTCATTCAAGGACTGTTTAAAGGTTAAAAATATGACCATTTTTTCAGTTTTTACAGTTTCCTGCCTTGATAAATCATGTAATTTTAGGGAATTTAAAAAATAAAAGCCTGCCTTTCAAACGTAACAACAAGTTTTGAAGCTCAGAGGGTTAAAAGTGATTATAAATATGATCGGTATTCACACGTGGTGTGTGTATGTAATGTGTGATGCCGTGTTTATGCTTTAAATGTGCGTGCTAACCCGTCAAGATCCTGTCTGGTGGTGACAGCGAAGGAGTTTCCGCTACTGCCAGGCCTCAGCATCAGGTTTCCGTTCTTGGCTTCTCTCTCCAGCAGCAGCTCTGCCTCCAGGCGGGAAACGGCGTGATAACAACTGCAGAAAAACATAGCGATGACACAGAGGTAAACAACGCTGTCACTCAATAACAACTGAGTTCATTATGTTATTAAGAACGTTTGCATCTGACCTGAAAGGAACAGTCACAGTGTCTAAATGTAGAGTATAATCATGGCTCTTGAAGGGAGCGTGTTTAAGGTAGCAAAAACTATTTGGGACTTTCAAGCGAAGGCAAAGTCCACATATTTTAGATCATGATAGAAAAAACACTAATACAGTATCAGCTGAAGTCTATCTGTCGCCTCTGTCCAAGGAAAGCCATGTTTCATTTCCAAAACATCTATTTATCATGATTTTTTCTTGTCAAAGGCTGTATTTTTCCCCCAGATGATCCAATTTTAAATAAGCATCGACAAAAACTCTTTCGATTTAACACACTGAGAATAGGAATTATTAATACTGACGCTGGCATGTCTGCCTGGAGGGTGATGTAAGGAGAGCCGCTGGGGACAGGAGGAGGTGGAGGGACGCTTCTTATTCTTTCCTTTTCACTTTCCACGGCCTCTTTCAGCATGTGGATCTGACCCGGCAGCAGGTTGAGGGCGGTGGGAACAGACAGCTAAAGGGAAAGGTAAGTAAAGGTACAAAGGTATTAGCATCAAAATATAGTGTACATATTATGCGTGACTTCATTTTTCAGAGTAAAGCTTATTAGTGGAATATAATTACTGATGTATTATTGTAATTATCACTTTAATGTTGGAGCTTATGAAAGGGATTTTCCCCTCAAGGATTAATAAAGTTTTATTTTATTGCATTCTCTTTTGTATTAGCAAACTAAATCCGCAAAGTAACTGAAGTTATCAAATAACTAATGGAATAAAAAGTACAATGTTTGTCTTTGAATTGTGGAAAGTGGTGGAAAATAGAAATACTCAAGAAAAATACAATTAGCTCATGATTGTACTTGATTAAATGTGCTTTTCATCACTGAGACACAGTTTCTGTTTTAAATATAAATCAGGATTGCAAATGAAAGCTATCTGCATGCAAATGACAATATTTTATGAGACTTTCAGAGCATCACATCGTGTAAGATAATAAAATATTTACAGTTTTGTCTATAAAGTGAGACAAATGTCACACACCTTTGCCACAGAGCTGATGTAACCCTTCCAAAGCTCACGAGCTTCTGCGTTCGGGGCCTGCAGAGACGACAGAAAAACGGTTAAAAAGGAGAAATCAATGTGTAAAAACAACAGGATCAGTTACAGATGTTCCACATGTTCCCTCACAGTGATTTTAATGTTTCCACTCTTCATCTGGATGTGGAGTCTGGCTGCGTCTAAGTTTCGGTCCTGGCTGCTGTCGTCTGTTATTGAAATCAGTCCATTGAGATCAATTTTCTCGATGTACTGATGGAAAACACACAGACGCAGAGTCAAAAAAAGGTTCATTTAAGAGATGTTTTAATAGATAATCATGCAAATCTGTGTATTTGATCTCTGTGGGATAACTTACATCGGTGTCTCTCTTATCGTTGAAGAAAAACAGCGTGCTTCCACACAGGCATGTCCACAGTTTCCTGGACGTCTGCACAGAGACAAAAGATGAAAGACATGAAGATGAATAAAAAAAAAAAAAAAGAAACGTGCGATAGAGAAAAGAAGAAAAAAGAGACAATAAAGTCATGTGACCCAACAAGGAAGTAAATAGGGCAGCAGTAATCTGGGCTAATGACAGGATTTGACGTGATGAGTCAAGCGACTGTAACTACAATAGAAACCTACATGTGTGATAATAATAGTAGTAACACTGTTTAGATGGAATGGGTTGAACGTGAAGTGGATTAATTAAATGTGCGTGTCAATCATGTGTTTGTAGGAATGTCAGATGGGACTTTTTTAACATGAATCATGTCAAAAAGTGTCATGAATCATCAAAACTATTGTATGTTGTAGAGGAAACAGGTCAAAATTAGTCCCAACTAAACCCTAAATGTGACTGGGACCTTCATTCATCAGACAGTGAGACAGACTTAAAGAATGCTGGGTGAAAAAAGATAAATAAAAAGTTCCCTCCTTCAGTTTTATGAGCTTTTACATTTGAGCGTGTGCAGACTTTTATCAGCCAGGGCTCAGCTTTATTGTGCGTGAAGCCTGCCGTGCCAGTTTTCATCTTTACTCTCCTGGCATTTCCTGGTTCAGTCTAATCTATTTACAACATGAGGAGCAGAAAAGTCGTCCGACCAGTTGAAGACGCAGACGAGAAACTCGAGTCAAAGTCCACATGAACTTACAAGAAAGTATGTAACACCTGGCTGCTGTTCCCGGTGACATTAACAAAGCATGTCACAGCATAATGTCACTGAACTGAAGTTTTAGAATATAAAGCACAGGCTGGTGTAGGTAAGAAATACTTGATATAAAAAAATGAAATACTACCAGCTGAAACATCTCTGCACACATTCTGATTGGCACTGACATTAAAAAACATCAAGGTTATGTAAAGAAGACTTCTGCATAATATTAAGATGCCAGTAGTTTGTGTTTCTCTCTCTTAAACACACATAGCAGACATCAAATAAAATAAACAAAAATTAAACATAAGTAAATAACAAAAAAATAAAAAAATACTACATGTGATTTGTAAATAAGATTCTAAAATTTTAGTTATTATATATATATATATATATATATATATTGTCTTTTTACTATTTAACACTTGAAATTATGAACATACTTGCACATGAGGCAGCAGAAAATGTGAAGCAAACTTTCAAGTTTTTTGTTGTTGTTGTTTCACCTCCTTAGTAAAGATTACTTTTAGCTACCCGTCTTTTTTTTTCACGAAATGAACCAAAACAATGCAAAACAGGAAAATCTCTGGTTGTTAGTAATATAATAATAATGAATAAGTCATACATAAAACCTCTTTAAAACTAATTTGCAGCTATTTTTGCAATCTTCCAAGCACACATGCTCAACATGATCAAGCCACAGCTTCTCAGTTAAGAGCTTTCCTTTGCCTTATAAATAATAATAATAATAATGTTGTGGACAAAAACAGCCATGTCTGTTTAACATTTTAGACGGCAGTCAGTATAAATAGTTGTTAAAAATGAATGCTCAGTCTTTCTTGGACGTGTTTTTCACAAACAACAAAAGACCTGAAGCTTCAACAGGTACAGTGATTGTGAAAAGTCAATAAGTACATTCCTGTCGTTCATTAACCCATTTAGCTGCCTGACAAACAAGAAGGAAAGAAAGAAACTCAGTACCTTGTCTTTGAACGACCTCTTCTCCAGATATCCTTCATAGTAACAAGTCGGCAGCTGGTTCTTTAGTCTCCCTGCTCTCTTCGCCATCATGACGGTTCTCTAAACGCAGATTTCACTACGACTCGACTCCCACATGAACCTCTGATCTGTTGTTTGCAGCTCTCTGCCTGTTTAAGCGCACAATTCACCTGTCTGACACTGGAGGCCGCTGATTGGTCCACACACGGAGTGGGCGGGTCTTAGTCCAAATGCCGACAGGTGAGATTTGCCGTGACGCAGGCGGCGTGTTTCTCGGGGATGGAAACTACCTGAACTGATACTGATGTGGTGTTATGATAATATTATATCTGTAGGAGTTTAAAAATGAAGAAGAAGTGACAAAAAAAAGAAGTTTCTGGTGTGAATGAGGATGCCTTTGTTGTTTGTGCTTTTGGTGCTTCTTTTTTTTAGAAAATTTTCAAAATGGCTGCTTTGGTTATGTAAACACCTGCACGATATAGAGAAATTAACTTAAATGAATCTTAATGATAAGTACTTTTAGTTTTAACAGCTACTAAGTCTGCCAACGGAAGCTTCCGGAAAACACTGGATAATGCAGCTTTGATTTTGAGTCATACAAGGTTGGTGTTGTTAGTTTCAGGTTAAATTTAAACGCTGGGGGGTTCAAATTAAACAGAAAGCTGCCATTAGTGTCCTCTCCCTTTAAACTGTGAGATTAAAACACTTAATTTAATGCATTCTGGTGATTTTTTATGCACCAACTTGTGCCTTTGCTGCATCAAATTATGATATTTATGTGAAATCAAGTCATTTCTGTTGCACATTTAAAACAGAAATCATTTTAAAGCAGAAAAATAACATTAGCGTTGCACATTTATCTTAGAAGTTTAAATATAAAGACCCTGAAGTATTGTTTATTGTGTGAATTTACCTGAGAAATTTAAATATTACAGTTAAACCCTACAAAATGATGTGAAATTCAGACTTACCTGACTAAATTAAATGTTACGGTTGAGACTCTACAATATGAATAACAATGCAATTTACTCAAGCTATTTAAATATTATGCTTAAGACAAAAGCATATTATATATAACGTAAACCTGCAATATTATTTCCTGACTAATTTAGAAATTAAACCTGACTCGGCTGGTTGAGGTGAGAGTAAAGGGGAGATGGGTAATTGTACCAGAGACAAACAAATGGCAAACCAGGGAATGTAAACACTGGGCAGATCGGTTTAACCAGTAGCTGCAAATACCTTCAGAGAAGAGATAAAGAACAAAGCACAGGGAAGAGAAGACACCAAATAAAAATCATGCAACCTTCTGTGTAAATGCGTAGAAGAAGTTACAAGAATCACAGGAAACTTGATTATGTGAAGACAACATATGAGCAGGATTATTCAAGTAAAGCACACTTGGGGCGGCTGTGGCTCAGGTGGTGGAGCGAGTTGGTCAATGATCAGCGGTTCGATTCCGCCTTGTAACCTGTTTCATGGTTGTTGTGTCCTTAGGCAAGACACTTCACCCACTTTGCCTGGTGTGAATGCGCATGATTGGATTGTTTGAGGTGGTGGTCAGAGGGGCTGTAGGCGCAGAATGGCAGCCACGCCTCTGTCAGTCTGCCCCAGGGCAGCTGTGGCTACAATTGTAGCTACCACCACCAGAATGAATGTGTGTGAATGAACAAGTGACAGTGTAAAGCATCTTTGAGTGTCCAGAAAAGCGCTATATAAATCTGATCAATTATTATCATTATTACTTGAGAAAAGGTAGAATTATAACAGTAAAAGAGGAAATCAGTGCAAAACAGTGAAGCCGTGTAAAGAAAGCAACACTGAACACGACTATGAGAACTTTAGGAAGATCTAAAAGCAATGGAAAACACATGAGCCTTTCATTTAGATTTTAAATTGCCAAGGGTGTGGCAGAGGTTTATGTGAAATAGGACAATGCTCAAGAGCTGAGGTGCAATTATAGTAATTATAAGTACTGTCACCTTTAGTTTTCAGGCATGAGAGGAGATCTGAGAGGAATAAATGTGATGATGTAATGTGCTGCCTACCAAAAACACAACATTCAGGTACAGTGAGTAAATGTTATAGCTTTTTCCCCCCTAAATAAAAGTGTCTAAATGTTGATGTATTTCTGTATCCCCTCTGAAATCTACATCTCCCACTGTGCCAACTAATACTACCAAAACAATGTCATTCTCACTAATGTGTAGTTTTTACCCTTACTATGTATTGTAAGTTCCAATTAAACACTAATTTGTTAACTCTTTATTACACTTTGCTTCACACATACACACTGCTGCACTTTAGAGATGTTTTCATTCACTTGATTTCATGCGTTCTTTCATTGTATTATATATTCAGCATTTTTTATTTTCCGTCTTGTGTTTTTCAGCCTGTGTGTTCAAATTTTATCTTTTTTTTTTTTTTTTTTATCTTATTATATTATTTTCTTCGTATCTACACCAGTGTTTCTGCTGTTTGTTGTGATGGAAACTTTCAACACTTGACTTACCATCTAGATAAGTATTTAGACAGCAAACTGCTGAGATTTGCAGGAGGTGATAGTTGTCTGAGACGCCGCCCTTGTCGAGGGAATCCTCAGCTGCTTTCTGCACAGCTGGAATGTCACATGCAGATGCAAAGATAGTAGAAACTGTCCCCCTCTGCTGGTTCTGTGAAGCAATTTACTGTCATTATTTACCCTAAATATGTTCCAGTTTACACCTAATGCAGCCTTGTCCTGCCTGTGTGGTTACAATGTTCCGTTTCAGACTCTGTGATCATCCTGGAGATTGTATTTTAAGGTGTTGTGGGAATGTTTTGCATTATACTGAGAGGTGTTCGCAATATTTTGTCCACTCAAATTGTTTAGTTAACAGGAGACTGGTGACTAGTTTTCTAAAAGAAGTCTCCATTTAAAAAGTGAATAATCTGAACCAACAGATGTCTCCATGCTCCAGCTGATTGCTCACATCAAGATTACTTTTTCTGTTACAAGGTTCATAGAATTGTTATGTTTTTAATATGCAAATTAGGTTTTTTTATACACTCCAGTACAGAAAATTGAACACTGGATGAATCCAAATTCCAAATACTCATGTCATTCTGTTAACATATTTAATTCAGAGGTTTTAAAAGAGGATGATTTTGGAAATCTCTCTTTTTTTTTACTCCACAAATCAGAGAATACTGTAAGCATCCAGAAAAATATATACATTTGACAGGTTTTTAGAAAGAAAATGTTGCATAAAATCATAATATGACTAATATATATGAAGTAATTTGTCTTAGGAATTTAAATAATAATAAAACTGGAAAGTTTCTTACATGTAAATGCTACAGAAATGTAGATGTCTGGCTCAGTTTCAGCTTTTAAACATCCATCCATCCATCCATCCATTATCTATACACCGCTTAATCCTCATTCGGGTCGCGGGGGGGCTGGAGTCTATCCCAGCCGACTTAGGGCAGAGGCAGGGGACACCCTGGACAGGTCACCAGTCTATCACAGGGCCACACTTAGAGACAGACAACCAGCACACTCACATTCACACCTACGGACAATTTAGAATCCCCAATGAACCTCAACATGTTTTTGGACTGTGGGAGGAAGCTGGAGAACCCGGAGAGAACCCACGCTGCACGGGGAGAACATGCAAACTCCACGCAGAAAGATTCCGGTGCCCCCACTGGGACGCGAACCAGCAACCTTCTTGCTGCGAGGCAACAGTGCTACCAACTGCAGCCCTGAATATGCAAATGAAGTATTATTTTAATAAATATGTGCTAATTTGCCAACATGTCCAATATATAAAGTGTAGTGAATTATGCAAGCAAATGTGTATTGTTGGAGTTTTTGTTTTACTATTCTGAAAGAGGACAAAAAATGCAGCATGTCACGAATACTTAAAATTGACCAGCTCATGGAAACGTTTTTCCCGACAATGCTTCTGATACATTTCTCGTAATCATCCAGTCGATCAAACATCCTCAGGTTTTGTAAATCACTTCTAAATATTATCACTCTGGGTATCAGTGAATTAGCTCTTCAGTAATCTGACTGTGAGAAAAGCAGAGAAGCTGCATCAAAGATCATGTAGAAATATCTGAAATGTAACATCTCTTGTCTGTCTTTTAGTGACACGTGTCTCTTTCTGTCTTTGCATTCTGGCATCTTCTACAAGCTACACAGTGTTTCCAGATGTTAACAGTTATTAACACCATAAACCAACTAAACTGTCCTTCACAGCTGTAACGTCTGTCAGCGGAGTCGCCTCTTTACGTCACTGAAGGATTTGAAAGAAGACGGAGCTGTAGTTTATGGATTTCTGATCAGATAAGAAATAACTGTCAGATTTCCTGATGTCACTTCCTATAATTCCATCAAGCAGTGGTGGAAGAAGTATTTAGATCTTTTACTTAAGAAAAACAACCAATACAGCAAAAGTAAAATTACTCATTTACAAGCTAAAGTCCTGAATGAAAAAATCCTTCATAAATAAAATGTAGGTCAAATATTTTGTTCCTCTGACTGATATATGACCAAATATGACATCATCACATTATTAATAATTCACCAGTGAGTAATCGGCACGGTACTGTTCAAGGTGGGGCTCATTTAACCTACTTTATTTACATATTTGTATAGAGACACGTGAGAGACGTGAGAGGTTGATTCATGGAAGAAGAATGAAAAAAAGAAGCTCCGATCCACAAATGTGTTTTCAAACTTTTTTTCTAATCTTTGATTTATTTCACTTATAAGTGGAACAGATCTGAGAATGGAAAGGCAATTAAGATCTTCTATCACTATAGCAAAGGTTCTTTACTGACCTCCTCGCTCTCAGCCACAGTATAGTTTAACATCAACAGTCCAAGATGACTCGTCTTATCCGGTGTTTTCAACTGTGTCTCGTGTTCTTCATCATTTTTCTCATGGATCTGCTGGTATCAAAGGGAAGCTGTTTTCACTCATTAATTCAAAGACTTCTCATCTGAGTTGACTTACAAGTTTAGCTTCAACGTTTATAGATCAGTTTAAGTAATTTGGTGTTTGTCAAAAAATGTTTATAGAAGACAAAGTAAAAGCTCCAGAAAAAAAATACTAATCCTTC